ATATATATATGTAAAACATCAAGAATAATGCATGATGAATATTAAGAGATAAAGTGCATTAAATTGATTAATCTTTTTCATCCAGCAGACAATTCTGTAAGAATAAAATCTCTCTCTGTATATCAAAAGAAATTAAATGGATTTAATTTTTTTAGAAAAAAAAAATATATATTATAATTTTTTTAAAATATATTTCCTGCATATACTTTCGTGTATAAAGTTTAAAAAAATTCAATTAAACATTCTTCCTTTTTTAAGGGGGAAAAATGAGAGAAAAAAGGAAGCTTACTGCAGAGGAGTAATATTTGAAAAAATTAGCAGTCGATTTATTGATTAGAAAATTGGTTGGCGGTAAAATTTTTTCACCGAGCGGAAATAATGAAGCATAGATATAGCAGTTGTATAATGGGTAACGTTTTAGCCACCTAATTTCATAGCCTTTACTGAAATCCATTGTCCAATTTAAACTTGCAAGACAAAATTTAATACACTTTCGTGAGACCTTAACACGACTCTCGTAAGTTCTCTCGCGATCTGCTTTCCTGATCTTTCTGTTGAGGGGGTAAATGGGCTCACGGAACATGCAATACTCGTAGTTATACTGTAGCTAATATATGTGATAATGACGTACCATGTAAAATCTCTTATCATTTCTAAATGTAACTCAAATTAAATTTTCCCAAATGTGACATAAAAAGATGTTAATGTTACTGAAGAAAAAAAATGGAATTTTTTTCATTACATAAAAAATACTTTTTAATTAGTCAAAAAAAAAAACATTTAGAGAGTAATTTTTTTAAAAAGTAAATTATCACAAAAAACTTTAATATTTTTTAGAAAATAACTTTAAAATATTGTTTCGCCGAAAGCAATTTACGACTATATTTCACGAGCCTTTAAAAGAACAACGCTCTATTCGAGTTTAGGGTCATAAAGTTGTGAATAGTTTTTTTTAAAATTTTTATGGTTTTTACTGTTGTCGAATAAAAATATATAACAAAAAAAAAAATTTTTATAAAAGTAAATCATATTTGAAATTTTTTTTTTTTTATAATGTATACTTTCGAGTTTTTTTTAATTTGTAGAAAATAAAACTTTTGATAGAAATACAAATGTTTAAAAAGTGTGATTAAACATTGATTTGTACTACTGATTTTTGTATTTAGTTCGTATGTCTGACTAAACTAAACTTTCACTACTCATACAATAAGAAAAAATTAATGAAGTCTGACTATATATTGACTTATACTACTGATTTTCTAATACAGTCTTTATGTCTGATTAAATCAGATTTATACTACTGAAAAAATTTAATAAAAACTGACTGAAAATTAACTTGTACTTCTGATTTTCAAATTTATTCATTATGTCTGACTAATACCGATTTATACTACTGACAAAATTACAAAAATCTTAAGTCTGAGTGAACATTTATTTACACTACTGATTATCTAGTACAGTCGTTATGTCTGACTAAAATCGATATATTCCACTAATTAAATTGTGAAAACTCAAAATCAGGCAAAATATTGACCTTTACTACTGATTTCATGATATAGTCGCTATGTCTGACTAAAAATTACATAAACTACTGATAATATTACAAAAAATCTTTGGTCTTACTAAACATTGATTTGTACTACTAGTAAAATTACAAAAAATGAAAATATCAGTTTAAATATTAAAAAAAACCTTTGGATTTAAATATATTTACACTTTGTAAAAAATGTAAACGTGAATAGTGAAAATAGACGATTGAGAAAAAAAATTCGTTAGCTACCAACTTTGAATTCAAAATAATGTTGGTGGATGGGATTCAAAGAAAAATGCTTTTGGAAGAAGTTCGGAATGCAAAACAAGGAAACTTGACGAAACGAAAGTCTTTTCTGGTAATATTGAAGGCAAGCTTCAGTATAGTAAGCACTCTAAAAGTTATAGCTATATTTTCTGCATCTCATTTTCTTTGGACTTATTATAGAATAAATATGGAGAAAGATAATTCATTTTTTAAAAAAATAATATATTTTTAAAAATTGTCTCTTTATAAAATTATATCCTCTTCGACTTTAATCATATGATACTTTCATTGTCAATTTTTCATCATTAATAGCTTTTTAAAAAATTCAAAATAGGAAAAATTTTAATTGTGTAAAAATTGATCATCACAGGATAAATATACATTTTGTTTAAAAAAAATATATTAAAAGATAAGAAAATTTATCATCAGACATACGCTTTAGGATCTCACTTTACGCGCCATTTTCCAAGATCCTCGCTTGATTAGCTCGAAAGGAACTTGTAGTCTGACTGTAAGTCGACCTTATCTATTTCACCGTACTTATCCTTCTTCCCCTGGATCTTACGATCTTAGGGATCAAAGAACTTGTGTGATCAGATATTGGAATTGTTATTAGAGCTGCAAGTTAAGAGAAAATTTATCGATTGAAAAAGTAATCTCTGCAGATTTTCCATGAAAATATGTTTGAAATGATAAAAGTCAGTTTTTACCTAATTGATAATTGTATATTTTTAAAAAAAAAGGATTGACACTGGATGTTATGATAAAATGAATTTTTAATATAATACAAATTATGTTTCACGTAAATTAATAAATTTTAGTATGAAAAATAAACTTAATTATGATAAAATGTTTGTCATTTATGTATATTATAATTTTTGAATTTAATGGCAAATCCATATATGAAGTAAACATCAATAAAAGTATTTTACGACTGTCAGTGACTTTTCAGGACTAAACCACTCATATAGATATCATAAAGTTGTACTAGCAACAAAAAAAATTGAGAAGAGCGGCAACAAGTTGAAACAAACATGCCGCAGTATTGTTAACTGGTGATTTTATTGGCAAACTTTATCGCGTTAGAAGAGTAATTGGATTTTCAACAAACTTTTTTTGTAACGTTTCAAAAAAAAAATATACGTCAAGTAAAAAAAGGCGACTAGGGACTCATAGATAAATTCAGACAAAAAAATTCACTTATTTTTATCCTTGAAAAAAATATAGTTTCGACTTTAGATGAAAAAGTTTTTTTTTCTTTTATAAAATTATAAATAATTGAAAAAAATTTTTTTTTGTATCAACTTTTTTATATAAAGTTACATATTCTTTAAAAAAATTTCTTTTTTTGCTAAACGAAATCTATTTTTAACATTTTAACAATTTGAAATTCAATTTTAAAATTGAAAACTGGTGATTATTGAAGGATAACAAGTTAAAGAAACTGTTTCTTTTCGGAAAATATATCCAAATCATTCATCCGGTAACAGGAGTTTATTCGATAAGAAGGACTGAAGCGTCGTTAAGGTAGGGAAAATTTTTCTCTTTTACATTTACTGGCGATTCGATTTAACACACACACACACACAGATATTACATATGTATGACGTTTGCGAAGATTGGATCTTATTGAATTGCGAGTGGATACAGGAGAAAAGGTTGAAGGCGATTGGACGGTACAACAGGGACTTGAGGAAAATCGGTCCACCATTGAAAGATATAAATAAGTTTATAGTATACACAAAATGTCCCATAAAATTCAGTGTCGTAAAAAATTTTTCAACCATAGGGAATAATGTTTGAAAACAAGTAGTTTTTCTTCTAAGAACATAAAAATTTCACCGTTGATAAGTAATTGTTCCTTTCTATATATTTTTTTTTCGAATAATCATATAAACTTGAACGAAAAAAAAAGTGATATACTTTATTGAAGCAGTTTGATTAGGCAGTAGTCTATAAAAAAAAGTTGAAAATAAATGTTTTAAAGTATCTATAAAGACTTTAAGGATTGTACATGTCATAAGATTGCGTTAGGATTTAGTAAACTTTATATGTATGTTTCGCTATATCAAGTATAGTGATGTCAACAATTCCGTTTTTAGATATCAAAAACCTTTTTCTTTTTTTTTATTACATTCGCCCGAGTTTTATGATTTATGACCTAGTAATCGTGAGTGTCCCTGTGTAGTAATTTTTATCAGTTTGATCCTGACAAAGTAATTTCTTCTTTGGCGACGAACATTTTACAAACAACAAAAACAAAAAAAGTGAAAAAAAATCTTTTGCGTTACAAATTCAAAACTTTTTTCTATATATAATGTCAATGTCGTTATAAATAAAATGTACAACTAAGAAAATTACAAAAATTTAATAAGTCTTATTAAAAATTTACTTGAATAACTGAAAAACAATTAAAAGTCAGTCTAAATATTGACCTGTACTACTACATTATGTCCGACTAATATCGATTTATACTACTGACAAAAGTATAAAAAAATCTTAATTTTGACTAAACATTGATTTGTACTATTAATTTTTTTTATTTAGTCAATATGTCTGACTAAAACCAACTTCTACTACTGATAAAATTACAAAAATAAAATTGTCTGATTAAACAGTGACCTTTAATACTGATTTTCTCATATCGTCGGTATGTCTGACTATAATAAATATTTACTACTAATAAAATTACAAAACAATAAGTCTGACCAAACATTGACTGATTTTATCATATTATAAAAAAAAGAATTAACTTTTTCATAATTCTAAAAATAAAAATTAGATATATATTTAATAAACTAATTAGCTAATGCATTATTGTATTATACAATGTAATTTACAAAAAAACAAAAAGATGTTTTTTTCTACCAGTTTACCGTATATCACCACAGTACTTTTTCTCGGATATGACTCGTTTTTCCTAAAGACTAAAACCACTCTCTCAAGAATACATTTTGTTGGTATCACTCGGGTTCTTTCGAGCGTTCACACCATTGTCAACAAAATGCACTTTTCCATTTCATTTTAGAGCTATCCTCATTTCTTTAAAGTAACGTGTGTTTATAAAGAAACGTACGCAAAAATAATAGATAATAGAATTAAATTAAAATTAATTAGTTTAAAAAAAAATTGTAAATACATGATTTGAGATAAATTAAAATAAATGATGATGAATTTATAAATAAGTAAAATATCGTCTTACCGAAAATTGGATTCCCTCGATGAGTGGCAAGACCACCAAGTGTTAAAACATGGGAGTGATCAGCAGTGACAATTAAGAGGGTTTCTGAGAGATCCACCTCATCCATAACTGCCTTGACTGATTCCTCTAAAGCCAGTGTTTCGTCTAAGGCGCGATAAGCGTTGTTGTAGTGGTGGGCATGATCTATTCTTCCACCTATAGAATAGGAAGTAAAGCAAACCACTATCACGAAACAGAGATGGAGAACCATCACCCTTTTAGAACTAGTATATATATACGGTCGAATGCAATCGAGTGTTACAACCACGCCAATCCATTAGCAAAGATGTTGGGTGACTACTGCTACCACCATCTACTCTGAATTCACTGTGTTTCTGTCTACAGTTTTCTAACTATATAGTCTGATTGGTTGGACATTTAATTTCCACTTTAAATTTAATTTCAAACCACATGCTGTCTATGTTTAAATTTATTACACACATATATATATATATATATATTTATTTATATCACCCTGAAAATTGTAATAATTTTCTTGACAAAAGAATATTTGCGAGAAAATTTAGCATTTTAGAAAAATAGATTTAAAACATCACAAAATATACATAAATATAGGAGGGTAAAATTTTTATAACGAACAAAAATATGGGACAAAATTCTGAAAAGTAATACGTAATTCGCATAGTAGACCCTTTAGAGCATACATATTGTATGTGAGTAACATTTTTTACATCTTTTTTTTATGTCCCTTTTTTCCTTATATGTAATATTTTTCAATAGGGAATTTATTTTTTACTCTCCATTCAAACCAAATGCTTTTGGATGATTTTTTTTAATTCTATAAATTTACTAAAATATGTACATCTTCAATCATTTCCAGAAAAAATGGACAATTACGAAACACAATTACTGAATTTTTAATATATAGTCTTTTCGTCTGACTAAATCTGATTTATACCACTGATAAAATTACAAAAATCTTAAGCTTGACTAAATATTGATTTGTACTACGGATTTTTGTATTTAGTTACTGAACTTATACTACTTACACAATAACAGAAAATTATAAAGTCTGATTATATATTGATTTATACTACTGATTTTCTTATTTAATTAGCCTGTCTGACTAAAACCGATTCATACTACTGATATAATTATAAAAATAAAAATGATCTGACGAAATATTGACTTTTACTACTGATTTTCTAATGCAGTCCTTATGTCTGATTAAATCAGATTTATACTACTGAAAAAATTTAATAAAAACTGATTAAAAATTAACTTGTACTACTGATTTTTCAAATTTATTCATTATGTTTGAGTAATACCGATTTATACTACTGACAAAATTACAAAAATCTTAAGTATGAGTGAACATTTATTTATACTACTGATTTTCTTATTTAATCATCCTGCCTGACTTAAACTGGCTTATACTACTGATAAAATTAGAAAAATAAAAATAGTCTGACAAAATATTGACTTTTACTACTGATTTTCTAGAACAGTCGTTATGTCTGACTAAAATCGATATATTCCACTAATTAAATTGTAAAGACTCAAAATCAGGCAAAATAATGACTTTTACTACTGATTTCATGATATAGTCGCTTTGTCTGACTAAAAATTACATAAACTACTGATAATATTACAAAAAATCTTTGGTCTCACTAAACATTGATTTGTACTACTAATTTTGTTATAAAATCAGTATGTTTTACTAAATCTGATTTATACTACTGATAAAATTACAAAAAATATTAAGTCTGACTAAACATTGACATTTACTACTGATTTTCTAATTTATTCATTATGTCTGACTAAAATGAGATATACTACTAATAAAATTGCAAAAAATTGAAGTCTGACAAAATATCTACTGGGAAAATTCGAAAAAACGTTAAAAGTCGATCGAAATATTGTGAATAATTTGTTTTTCTCTTTTACTAATAATGTAAATCTTTAACTCTTTTCACTAATAAGATTGAAAATTTTATTTGGAATATATAATAAATATTCGGATAATTTTTTTTCGTTACTTTTTTTGTTAAGAGTTCCGTATATATATAGAGAGAGAGAATTGAAATATCACTTTTCTTGAGTAACTGAAGAGTGTAAAGGAAACCTGTCCCGGATTCACTCGGGTTCAGACTTAACTAAAGAATAGGGGAGCATTAAGATGGCGAGTAGAGATCTCTCTGAAGAAAAAAAAGAAAAAAAAGGGAGGGTTGTAACAAATTTCTTCCTCGATATCATTCTGACAAGTAAGGGTTACTTGGGGTCTGCTAGCTTTCAAAGAGAAATATTTTACAAATTTCCTGTAAAGATAATATTAAAACTAATTTTGTAAATTGTTAAACTTTTTAAATTCAAGCGATATAATTATGTTGATAAAATAATAGTAATAACTTAAAAAATAGAAAATTACTTAAATTGTTATAACAATAAACTTAATAAGTATTACAATCAAATGTATTTTTTTTTAAGGAAAATATATGTCCATTGGTTTTTATATAGGCTTGAAGCCAAAATCAGATTTCTTTATTGTAACGAGCAACTAAATCCAACTTTAGCATTTGGCACAAGTTGCCATCAGCCTTATTTTTAAACTTCATTACAATAAATAATAATAATAATAATTAGTATTATTATTTTTATTATTATTATTATTATTACATTGTTATTAATTTAAAAAGTATTATTTTTATAATATAGAATTTTTTGTTGATTCAAGGTGACCAGAAGATGAGATTGTCCATATTTTTTTTCAAATGAAAATCTACGATTTTTCTTTTTTTTAAAAAAGAAATGAGAATAATTTATTTTTTTTTGTTTTATGAATTTTTTTTCTCATAAAACGTAAATTCTTCAACCCACTTGAGTTCTGAAAGTTACATTTCGAATTCAAGTCTACTATTTTCTTTTATGCACCAATGCTCAGCTTTCTCTGCGCTTTATTCAAAAGAAGAACTAAATAAGCAGGTTGGATGTGGTTCTCTTTTTTTTGTCACGTAGATAACGACAGTATCCAACTAGACGGAATAGGAAAAGTCGAGATTGGGCTGAGAGGGTAAGGAAAGTGGCTTATACAACTTCAGGAGCAGAATTTCTGAAGAGATAAGATTATTCGCCAACGACAACAGTTCACTTTGTCGACAACCTCTCTGCCATATAGTTCGCGTTAACGCAGTTGATGCTGTAAGCATTTGTACCTCGTTACATGACTTATTCAATTCAATTTCATAGACTATATACATTTCTATTTTACGCAAATTGTATATATTCCAACGAACTTGCACAATATTTCCAATGTCACAATTTTCATGTTGAATCTTATCATATTCCTTCTTGTTAAAATAGTTTAGTTAATTACGATTGTTTATATCTACAATATTCTTGAAATTTGTCGACTTTAAAACTACTTTAAATGTAATGTAAATGTACTTTAAATCTACTTGCATTTATTACATTAATAAAAAAGTTTCAATGTAAATGAAATTTAAAGTTTAATTTTATTTGTTTCCTTTTTCTTCAAAAAGAGCATTATGCGTGCCAGAAAAAAGCATTAAAAATGATATTTCGCTTTGCTTACCTTCAACAAACAGGAAATACCCTTCGGGATTTTTGGCAAGAATTCGAAGTGCTTTAACCGCCATCTCGGCAAGTGAAGGATCACCACTGCCATTTGTATTTCGATCAACTTCGAAATCCATATGTGAATATGAAAACAAACCTGAAATTATTGAAATTCTAATTAATGTAGCTGATATAATGTAAAATAATTAAATTAATAATAATCATTAATTAAATCGATTCAATATTACATAAATTTAATAACGAGGTAATTATTCTAGTAACTCAATATTACTCTGATAATATACAATGCGTGATAACAATTAATAGGGAAATAAAAAAGGTACATTATATCAACAATGAGAAATTAGATAATAAAATCTTTACATATAATTAACAACAGTAATTGTATTTGGATAGAATATTTGCTCATTGCTTCTGAAACTCAGTAGAAGGAGAATTTGAGAATGAGTAAAGAAATTAAATTCTTTTTTTCTACAAAAAAAGAAAATATAAAAAAAATAAATTTTTAAAAATATCAGAATGAATAATGCATTACCTAACAAATGATTCACTTTTCTTGGATCGACTTTATCGAATTGTTCCTTGTTTGCGACGTATTCGGCGGGAAGATTACGAAGTCGTCGGTTTCTCGACCATTCTTCGATTAGATTTCTACCATCAAGTCGTCTACCCTCCTTTTCAGGCTCCTCTGGATCCAATGCCACTTTAGGAACAAAATGCCTTCGACCACCACCCAACACCACCTGATATGGAAATAATTGACGCATTTTACTTTTTGAAACCGTTTTAAGAGAATATAAAGTCAAAATTTGAAAACTTCTATCAAGTTTTAACATTTTTTTTTCATTACATTATAAGGTTGTGTTCATAAAACTGCATTCATTTAGAATTGAAATGAAAAACTTAAATTGCAAATCTTGTTTGTTCACAAATCAAAAGATCCTTTGGTACAATTCCCGTAACTTTTTAATTTCATTTAATATTTTCCCTTTCACATTATTTTCTGTTAAAAAAAAAAAAAAAATTTCTGATATGATAAAATGACTTACTTTTATTAAAAAATAGTGTAATTTAATAAAAACTCCTTGTATATAAAGCTATACAATTTTTAATTAAGTGAAAATCTTTTAAACTTCAGAAAGCAAAAAAAATGTAAATCTCCACTTTATGATGAGTTGTAAAAATTTAACGTTGTACTAAATTACAAGCTCGAGCGATATTTTGATGTAAATGAAGTTATACGAATTCTTTTTTTTTCGACAAAAATTTTCGGATTCCTTACACGTGTTTCGCGTATATTTTATATTTTGTGTGTGATCTAAGAAATAGCATGTGTTCAAAATGAATAAAATATATATTATTTTCTCAGCAAAGAAGGATATATTTTAAATTCGTCGTATATGTATATAGGAGAAAGAGAGTTTTGAATTTCAGATGACGAAGTGAATTAGGAATGCAGACTTTATAAAATTTCGTTTACTTTTTTTTCTAGATAAATTTAATTAAAGACACGATGAACATAATGTCATAAAGATCAGTTACTTTCAAAAACTAATTTCAATTCTTAAAGCTTTGGGCTTAAACAGCATTATCTTTCGCGTTTATTTTACGTGAAAGAATTATATACATCACAAAGAAAAGAAAATCTAATAATCAACAATGCAGTTAAATAATAAATAAGGTATATAATAATCGCGCATTTGAAAATTAAAAAATTTACAATAACATTAATAAATTATAAAATATGAATTTTTTTATGATAGGGGTTGAATTAAATGTTGGTAATAGGTGTCATCCTCTACTCGGATCGGGCTGTCAATTTTTTTCTACACTTTTAGGTGTATTTTGTGCCAGAAATTGCAATAAAATAGTCTGCCTAAGAAAAATTGAATGTTTTTGAAAATTTTTTTTTGACGAAAATCGCTTTAATGGTCATAAAATTGGTGTTCCTCTACTCGGATCGGGCTGTCAATTTTTTTCTACATTTTTAGGTGTATTTTGTGCCAGAAATTGCAAAAAAAAAGTCTGCCTAAAAAAAATTGAATGTTTTTGAAAAATTTTTTTTGACGAAAATCGCTTTAATGGTCATAAAATTGGTGTTCCTCTACTCGGATCGGGCTGTCAATTTTTTTCTACACTTTTAGGTGTATTTTGTGCATGAAATTGCAATAAAATAGTCTGCCTAAGAAAAATTGAATGTTTTTGAAAATTTTTTTTTGACGAAAATCGCTTTAATGGTCATAAAATTGGTGTTCCTCTACTCGGATCGGGCTGTCAATTTTTTTCTACACTTTTAGGTGTATTTTGTGCAAGAAATTGCAATAAAATAGTATGCCTAAGAAAAATTGAATGTTTTTGAAAATTTTTTTTTGACGAATATCGCTTTAATGGTCATAAAATTGGTGTTCCTCTACTCGGATCGGGCTGTTAATTTTTTTCTACACTTTTAGGTGTATTTTGTGCAAGAAATTGCAATAAAATATTCTGCCTAAGAAAAATTGAATGTTTTTGAAAATTTTTTTTTGACGAAAATCGCTTTAATGGTCATAAAATTGGTGTTCCTCTACTCGGATCGGGCTGTCAATTTTTTTCTACACTTTTAGGTGTATTTTGTGCAAGAAATTGCAATAAAATAGTCTGCCTAAGAAAAATTGAATGTTTTTGAAAATTTTTTTTTGACGAAAATCGCTTTAATGGTCATAAAATTGGTGTTCCTCTACTCGGATCGGGCTGTCAATTTTTTTCTACACTTTTAGGTGTATTTTGTGCAAGAAATTGCAATAAAATAGTATGCCTAAGAAAAATTGAATGTTTTTGAAAATTTTTTTTTGACGAATATCGCTTTAATGGTCATAAAATTGGTGTTCCTCTACTCGGATCGGGCTGTCAATTTTTTTCTACACTTTTAGGTGTATTTTGTGCCAGAAATTGCAATAAAATAGTCTGCCTAAGAAAAATTGAATGTTTTTGAAAATTTTTTTTTGACGAAAATCGCTTTAATGGTCATAAAATTGGTGTTCCTCTACTCGGATCGGGCTGTCAATTTTTTTCTACACTTTTAGGTGTATTTTGTGCAAGAAATTGCAATAAAATAGTCTGCCTAAGAAAAATTGAATGTTTTTGAAAATTTTTTTTTGACGAAAATCGCTTTAATGGTCATAAAATTGGTGTTCCTCTACTCGGATCGGGCTGTCAATTTTTTTCTACACTTTTAGGTGTATTTTGTGCAAGAAATTGCAATAAAATAGTCTGCCTAAGAAAAATTGAATGTTTTTGAAAATTTTTTTTTGACGAAAATCGCTTTAATGGTCATAAAATTGGTGTTCCTCTACTCGGATCGGGCTGTCAATTTTTTTCTACACTTTTAGGTGTATTTTGTGCAAGAAATTGCAATAAAATAGTATGCCTAAGAAAAATTGAATGTTTTTGAAAATTTTTTTTTGACGAATATCGCTTTAATGGTCATAAAATTGGTGTTCCTCTACTCGGATCGGGCTGTCAATTTTTTTCTTCACTTTTAGGTGTATTTTGTGCCAGAAATTGCAATAAAATAGTCTGCCTAAGAAAAATTGAATGTTTTTGAAAATTTTTTTTTGACGAAAATCGCTTTAATGGTCATAAAATTGGTGTTCCTCTACTCGGATCGGGCTGTCAATTTTTTTCTACACTTTTAGGTGTATTTTGTGCAAGAAATTGCAATAAAATAGTATGCCTAAGAAAAATTGAATGTTTTTGAAAATTTTTTTTTGACGAATATCGCTTTAATGGTCATAAAATTGGTGTTCCTCTACTCGGATCGGGCTGTCAATTTTTTTCTACACTTTTAGGTGTATTTTGTGCCAGAAATTGCAATAAAATAGTCTGCCTAAGAAAAATTGAATGTTTTTGAAAATTTTTTTTTGACGAAAATCGCTTTAATGGTCATAAAATTGGTGTTCCTCTACTCGGATCGGGCTGTCAATTTTTTTCTACACTTTTAGGTGTATTTTGTGCAAGAAATTGCAATAAAATAGTCTGCCTAAGAAAAATTGAATGTTTTTGAAAATTTTTTTTTGACGAAAATCGCTTTAATGGTCATAAAATTGGTGTTCCTCTACTCGGATCGGGCTGTCAATTTTTTTCTACACTTTTAGGTGTATTTTGTGCAAGAAATTGCAATAAAATAGTATGCCTAAGAAAAATTGAATGTTTTTGAAAATTTTTTTTTGACGAATATCGCTTTAATGGTCATAAAATTGGTGTTCCTCTACTCGGATCGGGCTGTCAATTTTTTTCTTCACTTTTAGGTGTATTTTGTGCCAGAAATTGCAATAAAATAGTCTGCCTAAGAAAAATTGAATGTTTTTGAAAATTTTTTTTTGACGAAAATCGCTTTAATGGTCATAAAATTGGTGTTCCTCTACTCGGATCGGGCTGTCAATTTTTTTCTACACTTTTAGGTGTATTTTGTGCAAGAAATTGCAATAAAATAGTATGCCTAAGAAAAATTGAATGTTTTTGAAAATTTTTTTTTGACGAATATCGCTTTAATGGTCATAAAATTGGTGTTCCTCTACTCGGATCGGGCTGTCAATTTTTTTCTACACTTTTAGGTGTATTTTGTGCCAGAAATTGCAATAAAATAGTCTGCCTAAGAAAAATTGAATGTTTTTGAAAATTTTTTTTTGACGAAAATCGCTTTAATGGTCATAAAATTGGTGTTCCTCTACTCGGATCGGGCTGTCAATTTTTTTCTACACTTTTAGGTGTATTTTGTGCAAGAAATTGCAATAAAATAGTCTGCCTAAGAAAAATTGAATGTTTTTGAAAATTTTTTTTTGACGAAAATCGCTTTAATGGTCATAAAATTGGTGTTCCTCTACTCGGATCGGGCTGTCAATTTTTTTCTACACTTTTAGGTGTATTTTGTGCAAGAAATTGCAATAAAATAGTATGCCTAAGAAAAATTGAATGTTTTTGAAAATTTTTTTTTGACGAATATCGCTTTAATGGTCATAAAATTGGTGTTCCTCTACTCGGATCGGGCTGTTAATTTTTTTCTACACTTTTAGGTGTATTTTGTGCAAGAAATTGCAATAAAATATTCTGCCTAAGAAAAATTGAATGTTTTTGAAAATTTTTTTTTGACGAATATCGCTTTAATGGTCATAAAATTGGTGTTCCTCTACTCGGATCGGGCTGTCAATTTTTTTCTACACTTTTAGGTGTATTTTGTGCCAGAAATTGCAATAAAATAGTCTGCCTAAGAAAAATTGAATGTTTTTGAAAATTTTTTTTGACGAAAATCGCTTTAATGGTCATAAAATTGGTGTTCCTCTACTCGGATCGGGCTGTCAATTTTTTTCTACACTTTTAGGTGTATTTTGTGCAAGAAATTGCAATAAAATATTCTGCCTAAGAAAAATTGAATGTTTTTGAAAATTTTTTTTTTAAGGAAATCGCTTTAATGGTCATAAAATTGGTGTTCCTCTACTCGGATCTGGCTGCCAATTTTTTTCTACACTTTTGGGTGTATTTTGTGCACGAATTGGAAATAAAATAGTCTGCCTTAGAAAAATTGAATTTTTTGTGAATGCTCAGGTTTGTGTTCACGCAGTGTACCAATTTTTTATATATATTTTAATTTTTTAATATATTTATTAGTATCTTAGTTGTTATATTCGAGATATTTTTTTTTATTAATATAATTTTTCGCAACTATATTGTTTAATGGAGACAAGTTTACTAACTTAATTTAATAAATTAATAAAGAGAATGTGAAGCATTTATCACAAAATTAGAATCCTCCCGTTTATGACATTCATATATTTTACAAATACGAACTTTGTGAATGCAACTTTGTAACTGGAAAGTTTGTGTGAGTCATGCACTAAACAAAAACTTTCTATATCAACTTTGTTCGATGCAAGCTGCTCGTTACTCTGTTTAAAATTCCTCTTTCTCCCTGTAATATTTGACAATTCATTGAAGTAATCAAAAAGTATTTTTCTCTCTTGTATTTTTCTTCAAGATTTTGTAATATTTTTTGCAAAAAAAAATATTATGCTGAGGGTATTTAATGGTATTTTATAAAACCATTTTGATCATATTTAGTAAATGACAGTTTTTATTAGTTTTTGATGAAAAAAAAAATTGTAATACTAACTAAATGACAGTTTTTATTAGTTTTTGATGAAAAAAAAATAATTGTAATACTAACGTTAATGCTTCTACCAGGCTCTTCTTCTAGAAGTTGACGAGCTATATCTTTACAAGTTGTTCGTGCTGCTGCTGGCACTTTACCATCATCTTCCCAATAACGACTTGGTGAATGTGCGTATAACGCAGCAGGTGTCGCATGCGTTACTCTTGTTGTTGTAACAAGACCTGTGGATTTGCCTATAAAACAGGAATAATCTTTTCAGCACATAAAACAGCTTTGTGTAAAATATGCCTGGAAAAGCGAGCACATGTTTTGTTTTTTCTCTTTTTTACGACATAAATAGAAAATATATTGCATGTAAAAATTATTATTCTGATAAAAATCGGTAAAGGATTTTTTTTAAATAAAATCCACTGATCTTCATATAGCTCCATATATAGCTAAATGTCCATTGAAAGACTCTTTCTTTTAGAAAAATATTTATATAATATAATTATATATTTGGAAAATATTATTGTTAAGATACTATATTGTCAGGAAAATTTTCACGTATAGAGAGAAATTAGATAAGAAAATTCGAAATGATAAATCTAGTGGAATTTCAACGTGACCTGATACGAGGTTTCGTAAATCTTGACAAATCTTGAACATTTTATTTTATTATATTATGTGGGGGGCACTTGGAAGATATGGAACACTTGTAATTTGCTCCTGCGTTTAAATGAACAGCGTTACCTAAATACATTGAAAAGTAGACTGCAATTTACATCTTATACACTTGACGAAATATACACGGCGAAAAGAGGAAATACTGTGGATGGAGTACTTTATGTAGTAGTCGAGAAATCGAGTCGTGAATCGTATTTTAATTAGGAGTTGGCAATATCTTCTTTCACCCTTTTCAATCTTAAGAAATAAACGAGGTTGAAAAAAAGAGTGAATATTTAACTAGTAAAATAATACGAATAAAGGGAAATATTTTTGTGTTTTTTTTCTTGTGAATAGACTAGGCGCTTTTTATTTAAGGAAAATTAAATTTGCATTAAAAATTTAGGTCACTTGGAAATAAATTTTTTGTTTCTTATTGCCTTTTTGTGCAAAATAAAATATTATAATTGTTGTACAGACATTAGGTTAACAATGAGATAAAGTGTCGATATAGTAACAGTTGAAAATCCTCTATAATTGTTCAGTGCAATGGATCAATGATCATTATTCAGTGATCGCTTTGAGAGAGTAACTAATGCATTGATCTTAAAGGCAATGCACATGACTTGCATCCTGGCGAGGACAAAGACAAAGCAATCATCACCTATAGCATTGAGTCGTCTGTTACAATATTGGATTCCCCACGCGTCCTTGATGTCAAAACTTTGTCTCGTTTCAAATATACTATTCCTATTTTCATTCTGATGATTTTAGTTGCAATGTTAACTTAAAATTAAGTAAAATTTGTTATATTTTTTGTTTTGTATATATGTTTATTTGGTTCGTGTATGTTCGTGTCAGACTTGTGCGAACAGATCCAAACTTGACCGAACAATGATATAAAGAAATAAAATGTATTATTGTTTTTTTTGAATATAAAAAATAGAATATATCTAGTTAAAATTTATTACTTGAAAAAAAGAATTATAGTTTTGAAATTGGCAAAGAAGGACCGATATTGACGGCTTATGGATAAGCATGAAAAATATGTGAAACAAAAATATATTGAAGATTTAGCCGATGTAGTAAATAAGTTACAAAAGATGAAGGAAATAAAAGCCCTTAAACAAAAGATGGACCGGAAGGCATTTATTGGATTAGGAAGGGCAGCTTTTACGCTTCCACATCGCATCAGCTTGATGTCGACACCAAGCGTTGTGTGATTAATCAACTCGGCAATTCATCTTAAAGACTGAATTGAGGTGGCAGGTTTGATCTAGTTTATCAGCTGAATATACACGTAATTTGTGCATCACGAAAAACGTGATATGTTTTAATGAACCACGCAACATTCATGAACAATATGTAATTAATCAATTAAAAAAAAAGATATATATGTAAATATAAAACACAAAATTTTAACACGCTACATTTGAATTAGTTATCGTTGATGAAAGTTTTTTAAATTGTTTTTGCTAATTTTAGAATTAGAAAAACGTTAAATAAATACTAAAAAATAGATTGTCAATAACTAAATTTAAATTATTTATTAACAATATAAAAATTAATAATTATAATAGTATTCATTTTTCTAGAAGATATAAATAGTTCAATGGTATATACAATAAATAGTGTTCTACTTTCTTATGCGTTTGTTTTTCCCTCCAAAAAAGGTTGGACATGTCAGTTTTGTGGTATATCTATTAATATTCAGCAGAGTTAGCTTGACGGGGCTTTTATCTTTCCAGAGATTGAAAATGTAAAACTATTATTTACATTTTGATTAATTTCAAGTGCAGGAACATTTATCATTTTCATTGATAATGAACTCAATAATAAATGGTATTTCAAATAGCAAGCTTACTGAACTCTAAAGATCTTGAAATTCTTTATAGGAAAATTTATATGACACTTGAAATTACAATTAAGTAAATTATATTTTTAATAATTTTTAATAAAATAAATCCAAAATTAGAATCTTTTTACATTATCATAAAAAAAATAACTTAAATTTAAAAATTATTTTAAATTCTACAAGAATAAAAAAAACTCTTATATTCTCGATTTTAAAACAGTTAACATAATCTATCTGAAAAATATTTTCGCCTAAGTTTCAATGAAGAAAGTTAACCAACTTTCTAAGTTCTTTACTCTTTTCTTAAAGCAAAAGATCAACTGCTTACGGTTCGTGTGATATTCAAGACACGATTCTTTCACGAAAATAAAAGAAAAGTAAATCGTAGAAACCCCAGGTCTCTTTTTCCAGCTACAGCTGCAAAGGTTATTTTGTATGCTTTGAAACTTTTCTTAACTAAAGAGTTAAAAATTCTGTTTGTACACTTTTAGATTGATCTATAATATTAGTTGAATTGAATTTCTACTTCTTTTACTCATTGAGACTATATTTAGGTGTTTTTTTTATTTCACATTAATATTAACTTCTTTTTTATTGATCGAATCATTAGTGGGAATATATTTTGTTTTTTTATCCAATTCATATAGAATTGTTAACGAAATATGTTAAATTTTCCCATCAACAGTGACGTTAGAAACATTTTCAGAATTAATAGCAGGTTACATTTTTCAGTTTCCCAAGAGAATCATATTTTGTTCGTTTAATTAACTCGAATGAATTCAATTTATCTCGAAACACTAGCTCAACGATCAGACTCTGCATAATTAAAATCCTGAGTATAGTGTCTACCATTCGATTTAAAAAATTTAATGTTTCATTATTCATTTTTCAATATGTAAATTTCTACATGACAGTATTTTTCGTAATGTCCATTAATATTACTATTATTATTATTTTCATTTTTACTATTTAGTATTATTATTATTGTTTTTATCATCTGATTACCTTGTTTTTGTGCCCAATTCATTAAAGATGGAACTTTTGCATTAAAGGCAGAGAAACAATTTTCAAAGCGGGCTGATGAATCTAAACCCACTGTTTCATAATTTGCTTTCACTCCACAAAGAAGTGCTGTAGCACATGCAGATGATTCTCCAACTTGAGCGTCCTGGTTGTACGTCTGAAACAAAAAAATATTTTATTTTCCTAAAAAAAATATTCATATTTTTCGCTTGTAAAATAAAATTATAATATTAGAACTCAAAATGCAAAAAAAACAACTTTTTTCTTAATATAAAAAATGAAATTGATGATCATTTTCAATATGCGAGGGACCATTATATAGTTTACTCATAAAAATATATTGGTGTTCGATTATGGATTATGATAATCATGATTTCTCTAACCTCATAAGCAGATACTGCTTAGAATGCATAAATCTTTATTGGTATTATAGGAACGGAAATAAAGGATCCTATAAAATAGTACTGACGTCAGCTTATATTAAATATATAGTTCATTATTGGGAAAATTATTTTTTCTTATTGCTGAAGAATAAATAAATTATTTATTCCTTATATGGTTCAGTTTGTGTTTATTAATATAGAAAAAAAATTCATCTTAAGTCTCTTGAGTTTTATTCAGAAAGCTCGGTTACAAAACATCATTACTAACTCTTGACACAAGGTTTTATAGTAAAAATTTCTATTATAAATATCTTTCTTTACAGTTCCCATGACATTTGTTTCATTTTTTTAGAAACATATCTTTTTCTTGTGTATTTGAAAGTAAAATTTTTTTTTAACTATGTCATAATAGTTTTTATATTGAGAAAATTTAAAGCAGTTATTTTTTTATTTCTTTAGAAAAAGAAAATATGTAATAAAAATTAAATGAATTATTTGCGGTAAAATATTTAAATTACAAAAATAAAATATTTATAACACATTAAGAGTGATTCAAAATGGGTCAAATGGTATGGAATTGAAAGTGTGGTTTTAATGAGAATGTGTAAAATAAATTATAATATGGTATATTCACATGAAAGCATGTCGCATTCTAGCCACTAGTTTATGATTGTTTATACGTGTTTAATACCACGTTCTACGATATATACACGATGTCTCATTAGAAGCTCTGTAGGTACACGTGCGTACGTAGAATGTACATAATATGTAGACGCATGATTTATGCGTATCATGTACAGTGAATGTCAGCATACAAATTCACGAAGCTTAGAAAATAATATTTTGAAAATGTTCATATATATATATATATATATATATATATTTTATTTGTAATATTCAAGAAATAAATAATTTAATTTAATCTAAAATCTAAAAAATATTTTCTACAATATGTATTTTATCTTTTCATATATTAAATATTACAAGACCATAATATGTACATGAAAGTTTGCGTCCAGTATAAAGAGCCCTTTGATTATCAAATTTTTTTTCATCAGAAAAAAAATTTCCATCCTTAGGAAAAAAATCTGATGAAGGTAAGTTCGGATCATAAAAATGTATGTGGCCTTTACATTCAAAAACTTATGGTATCTCTAATGTAATTTTTTCTAGATTAGAAAATTCCTATATATTTCATAGTTTTTTTTTTCTCCGATATTTTTATCGAAGTTAAAGTCAAGTTTTTTAAATATTGATATATAGAAAAATATAATTGAGGAGCCAAGAGTTTTCTGTGAATTTCATATATACACTAACGGGCTACAAACGAGAAAGGGGTGGAATATGCCAATAGTGTTCGTACGATGTACACGAATTTACTGTTGCATATGGGTCGTACATGGAGATTAAAGTTTATCCATACACGATGTACTTGATATCGTGCCAAAACCGATTCCTGTTACTGAGAGTTACCTTATTTATCAGCATAAAGTCGATTCTACTTGTTTCAAGTGAAACGTGGAAATCGCGTGTGCAATATGGAAAAAAAGTGAATGAAAACAAAATTTCAAATTATAATGCAGATTAAATATAAATATATATAAAATGAATTTATAATTTAGCCAATATAATTAATTTAAGAATCACTTTTAATCATCAATAATTTTAATGTATTTTTTATTTATTTATTAATATTATAATATTGAATGAAGATTTTTTTTACCGTTAGCGATAGTGGCGCAGTCTGTAGGGAAAAGCGTTGCAACTCAGGTGGAGTTTGCAAATGGCTGAATATGCTTATGGTTCGTGTATGTTCGAACCTGTGCGAACAGATCCGAATATGCATGAACTTTACTAATATTAATTAATTAATTAACAAAAACGAGAATTGAATAAATTGACAAGAAGAATTATTTTATTTGAAGTAAAGAAATTTTTATTGTAAAATTATAAAGTGATTATTTTTCTCATTGTTAAAGATGCCCTTTTATATAGCGTTTGATTCACGATAAGATTACATCTAGTGTGGTGTTGATTGTAGTAAAAGTGTGAAGAATTTTTACTTTTTTCACAAAGTGTCTACTATAGAGTAAGTTTTGCAGAAAAAAAGTCATAGAAATGGAAACACGAATTCCATTCTCCAGACATGTTGAATTCGAAGGACGTTTTCTTGGAGGATAAAGTTCGACACTATGACATAGATGGATGGTTATTTAGAAAGCCAAAGTAAGAACGTGTTTTTCTCGAATAATACGTTTCAAATAGTTTTGTATATATTTTAAACTAAATATAAAAAAAAAGTTTTTTTCTTTATTATTAACATAACTAAATTAGTAAATTCAGTTATAGTTAAATATTATTAAAAAGATTATATTTTAAAATTCTTTTCTAGTATTGTCTAAAAATTTAAAAAAAAATAAATTACCTTCTTTCTAGTAGCAATAAAATTTTTTGTCATACTCTAAAAAAGAAAAATCGTTTTACCAGGAGCTAAAGTTATTATCAGTAAGCATATGAATATAAAAAAAAGATATGGAATCTAATAGGTCATATTACCTTCTAAACGTCACAATTTTCCACCTAATTTTCGAAGCATTTTATTCCCTCGTAAAAGTTTTATTCGTTTTGTACTATATGCGTATATGAAGGAATTGAAGGAGTCTGGATAATTTAAATTCATGTCAGTAAACGGCAGGAAAAGAGATTTACGAGTCGATCAAACTTCTTAAACTCTGTCCCACCTCATACAAGTTGCATTGGGAATTGGATTTAATAGGATGGAATTAGTAAAAATAATAATAAATTTTAATTTATATTACAACTATAGTTACTAAATTTTTTTTTACAAAAGAGAAGAGACATTTTTTTTAAAGAGAAAACTTGTTTAAATATATATGGCAATTTTGTATACTATATCCTCAACAAAAAATTGTCAAGAGTTTACAGTTGTTAGCGCGCTTGAAAATTCTTATCTTTTTCGACAAAAAAAAAAAAAAAAATTCGCTAGTCTCTCCTCTTAAATGAGACACATTTTTCCCCACTGTAAGTCTTTCTGGCAACATTTCTAAATCCAAGAATATACATTTTTTAAATTCTCATTTACAATGTTTAAAAGGTGTGAAATTAGGAAAATTGTGTAACGCGACATACGAAGCGTTTAAGTAAAATTCTCCATTTACTTCAGAAAGAATTGCGAATAAAATATAATCTCTATTCTTCAAAATAGATAAAATTACTCATTTTGATAAGTGTTTTTATTTATTTTGATTTTTTCTGAGACAACAAATTTTTATTGTTATTAATTATGACATTTCTGTTTTTTTTTAACATAAATATAAAACAGATACAAAATGAACAATCACATTTCTCTTTTCTCTCTTTCTCACTCTGTAAAGTGTCAAAACTCGTCGACGGTGAATTAACACTTGTCCATATAGCGAATTTCTGCGAATGCGCAAACCTATATATATAGAGCCAGAATTTGATGAAGTGCTGAGCAACCGGACATTGGCTAAAGTCGTAAATAAATCGATAACGGTGAATGAATGAGAAATAAAGGTAGCGACACGTATAGTTTATTGGTGAAGCCACGCCGACTTTGTCTGGATATAAAAACTAAAATTGTGGCAAAAAAGATTAATGAACCAATTTGTTCGAGGGAAAAAATTCACGACCTTATATACATTGTATAATATAAATATTACAATTCATATTTTTAGATACGTGAATTGTTACAAATTTTTACCGCATGTTTCTAAAATTTATATCAACATCTTTTTTTCACTCTCAATGCTTCATCAAGGTTTTGTTTTTTGTGAAATATATTTTTTTACTTTGTAAAATTTAAAAAAAATAATATATTAAGAAAATTTTCCTCAATTTAAGTTTACTAATTGCTTACATTGTTTACTTTCATATATATTTTTTTCATTAAGAGTAAAATATAAAAAAAAGAAAGAGAAAAACTTTATAATATATCAAAAATGGATTTTCAAGTACACTATAATGAATATCTATTTTACCTTTATCTTTTGATACTGAATCTTGAAAGTTTTGAAAATGAAATCATGAAAGTTACCAAGCTCTTAAGAGAATGTGGCTGAGATGGCAAATTAAAATTTATTTAAACTCAACTTTCGAATATTTTACTTATGCTTTCTAGAAAGTCATGCTTTCTTTGAACACTTCACTTTGCTTATAAAATGTAAACTTTTAACATTAGGAAGGAAAACTTTTTAGGGAGCTACCATGCAAAATAGTTACTTGTCTATACTATTGAAATCTCAATTTACAATGTAAAAAAATTATTATTATTTTTCAGTGTTGGTTTTCACTTTAAAATTTCAAATTTTTTTTCCTTTCTTCAAAATTAATAATAATTTGATAGAAAAATTTTTAATTATACGAAAATTAAAAAAAAAATTGTTACTAAAGAAAAAGGATTAAAATTTTTGACAAAAATAAAATCAAAAATTTTAAAATCCTTTCATTTCAAATTGATATTTCAGCTTTAACTTTTTTGACTTTCTTTCGGTGTGTGTGTTTTTTTATCAAATTCTCTTTCAAATATTATTTCTTTCATATTGTCTTCATGTTTCATATCTCCTTGTTTGAATTTTCGTCATACAAAATTGTCATCATTGTACAATGACAATCTGTCGATATGTTCGTTGTGGATCAAAAAAAGATATATTCTAGAATCGTCAGAATGACATTTAAACGCTTTTAAAGAATATGCATTTGTTCACAAGCGGAAAACAGTGCTTTGAAATGAAAATTCTCTGCGGTGGAGAAAAATGTTGAAAGCAAATTTAGTAAAGATAAAGAAAGAAAGAACTATATAGTGAAAGGAATAAGGAACAAGAGAGGCAGTCACTTTTTATATCGTTCTTTCTTCCTGTGTTCACCTTTCCCTTGGGAATTTCTGTGCGGTTGTTCTTGAAAAAAAAAACTGTCGTCATCTTGATGTGAGAATTTTTCTTTTCTGAGAATTTTCTCAACGAATTTCTATAACATATTATAACGCTTTCAATTTCACAAATTTTATAAACAAAAATATAACAAATATTTGAAAAAAAAATTTTACATTCCTGAAAATTAAATAGAAAATTTAAAAGCGATTTTGTTTATATAAAATTATTGGTATAAATGTTATTATAAGTGCGGAATAATTTTTAACATCAGGGATAAGATTGTGAAGACCATTTCACTGTTATATATGCATAAATGAACTTTCGAAATTGCCATTGAGATTAATATCTAATACTGTTTTGTGCCAACATATGGTTACATTCATATTCGGTTTATCAGCGTATTGTGCCTTATCTTAACTGGTTTCCAATTGTATTGGAAGCATTTTAAGCGCCTAATCTTATTATTATTATTATTACTGCCGTAAAAGTAAAAACAAAAGGTGCTTAAAACTCAAAATAAAATTGATTTTACAACTTTTTCTTTTTAAATTAATTAATATTTTACGTTTTTTTATAATGATAAAATTTTATTTTAAGTATTTAAAAATAAATAATTTAATATAATTTGATAAAAATTATTATTTTCTACAGAGAGAACACTCAATTAGAGTTCATGTCATGTGGATTTGAATTTTGAAACGTACGACATAAATCACAAGTGGTGTGAAGTAGCCTTAATCTTTAATCATATAAAGTTTGAGAGGATGTCTCCCCGAAATGTTACAATTAAGGATTGCAGGGATTTCAGCAGAATCTTAAAACGTCATGACTTTGCAGTGAGAGTTTAAACTGATCTCAATGTCAAGATTTTCAAATTAGATAGATAAATCATGCTAAATTTATATGTTTTAAATTTTTTTAAACTATAATTGAAATAATTTTTAATTTAAGAAAGTAGGTGATAAAAGGTAATTTGATGATCTGATGTTTTATTTTCATTTTAATATTCACTTCGATTTTCACTTTTTATTTTCAGTTAATTTCAGTCAAAGTGAAAGTGTAACTGTAAGTGGAAGTAGAAGTCAATGTAAAATTACATACAATCGCACCTCAGCGGCAAAACTGAATTCTGTTAATCGAAAGCTGCTCAAAAATAAATTACAAGTCTATTTTTTCTCCCATATAAAAGTGAATTACCTCGTATTACATAAATTACAATTTTTGAAGTCATGCAATTTCGATCGTGTTTGGGGAGTTACTTTTCAAACTTACCATCCCTATAATCAGCAACGGATAGTTGTCTCCACCTTTTTCTCATAAACATGAAACTTATTCTATTGATTTTTACTTATCTATGTAGCCTATAAGAATAAATTTAAGTAAAATCAGTTTTTTTTCCTGTTATATTCAAACTATCAATTTTTTCTTCAATCTCATTCTTATTTTTCTTTTTAAATATCGTTTAAGTAATTATAAGTTTCAGACGAGATTGACAACTTTTTTTTCCATATATTCAAAAGTAAATGTTATATTATTGAATGAGTCGATTTTTCAGTAATTTGCATTTTTTATTTGAAGTAAAATGAGGTTGTTCAAAGTTTTTTTAAAAATAAAAACTATTTTATCAGAGTTGATAAGTAGAAATGTTATAAATCTTTAATAGTGAACATCGATTAAAAAACATTTTAAATATTAAATAAATGTTCCAATGAATATAATCAGTTACTTTTAGCGACATTATTAAAAATATTTTCAAAAAATTTATACTGTTTCAGAATTAAATTTCTTTTTTCTTCTGTTTAAATATGATTGATACTGAATTAGAAAATAATCTCCGGTTTTTAATGAATCTTCTTAAAGTAAATGGTTATTGGCCATTTATAAATAAAAAAAAATTAATAATGATGCGAACATTTTATTTTTTTGTTATAATGTCATTAACTGTACCAATTGTAAGTTTATTTTAGTTTTAAAAATATATTTAAAAAAAATATCAAATTTTCTTTCTAAATAGGTACAATATTTAATTTGATTATTAAATAAAAATTAGTTTCCAATTGTAAAATTAGATTATATTAATTTTGTACTAGCAAAAATATTTAAAACAATTTTACAGTTAATATAACATCTAGTCTATAAATAAAAAAATTATTATTTTAATTAAAATGATAATATTTTAAGGGTATCAATCTCTATAAGGCTCGACATAATATGGATTATTTTTGTGAATGCGTGTCTATGGCAGCTATCATACCATTAGGATGGATTTCCTATTATTTTCAACTTTCTAAAACATCAACGGTAAGATAGAAATGATTTTTTTTGTTTGTTTTACGTTAAAATTTTTTTTAGCAGATTGCTAAAATTATTACAATTATATTGATGAATAACACTGCAAAAAGTAGTATCGTATTTTAAGATACTTCTTAAATCTTAATATTAAGATTAAAATACAATTTACATGTGTGTTAATTTCTTTTTAGTTGCGATCACTTTTCACTAGCATGTTCAAAGATTATGAAACATTTCAAATTAATAAATACGAATATGAAATTTTACTGAAATTTGCAAAAAAGACACAATTCTTTGTTATGGTATATTTAGGTAAATATAGACTTTTTAAAAAATGTATTTTGATAAATTAAATTTATGAATTAATTTTTTTTAATGGTAATTATATTAATATTTTATTTTAAGTTTATACATCATCGACGTGTATTTTTTATTGTCTAATTGGACAAATTCCTTATTATCTAGATTTTATCATACCCCTAAATGAATCACGTCAGAAATACTTTTCAGCTGAACTTGATTATATTTTTTTTGATAAATATGAATATTATATGCCAGTAAGTATGCATCTTGCGACAGCTGGTTTGTATATTATTCATCTTATTGTACTAGCCGATGCTATTCTCTTAACGTTTGCTCGACATGCCTGCGCAATGTTTTGTATTTTACGGTAATTTCATATATTGTACTTATTTATATATAAATGACCCGCTATTAATAAAATAATTATTTAGTGATAAAAAAATATCTATTTGAAATTTTAATAATTTTTCTTCAGATATAGATTAAAAACTATTAATGTCAATGCTGAAGGCGAGCGTATAGATCATGACTATGATCAAATGTATAAAAATGTTCGTGGTTGTGCAATACTACACAGTAGAATACTTCTGTTTGTATATAATTTATAATAATTAGTTACAATAATCCTAATTTGAAAAATTATTTAATACTTTTTTTCATAAAACAGATTTTTAGATGATATTAACTCGTGCTATGCAATGTGTTTATTAATATTTATTGGAGTAACTGTGATTATTATGAGTTTTCATGGATCCATGGTAAATATCTGTTTTTTATTTATAATTTTTAAACATTTTTGTTTGGTAATATCTACTCTCTAAATTTGAATCAGCGATAAGTATACCACTGGTACCAATCAGCGGATATACGCTGAAAAATCAGTGAAATTCCACTAATTCATCAGTGCATATAAGCTGATTGGAATCAGTGGTATACTTATAGCTGAGAATCAGCGAGATTCCGCTGATTCAAATTTAGAGAGTACAGTGAAAGTGATAGTGAAAGTGTATTTTTAGGTAATACGATATTCTAAGAACGTAATTTTATGACATGACATTATTGTTATAGATGGTCCTAAAACAGCACGACCTCACGTATTTAATAAAGGGATTGGTTATTGCCGTGGGGCAAAGTATACATGTATTTCTTAATTGTTTGACTGGGCAAATGGTACAAACACAGAGTGCAAATTTATGCAATTACATGTAAGTAATTCGTGATCCTGACCTTATTGTAATAATATTTCTTACTAATTTAAATTTAAAGATTAGGTGAATGGTAATAGGGTTTATTTACTATTTTATTATATAGTGTTTTTATATTATATTATAGATATAATTTTGAATGGTATGAGGCGCAAGAAAAAGTAAAAATGTCAATTTATTTTATGATATTAAAAAGTGAAACAGAATGCAATTTATATGTTGGAAAAACTGCAGTTTTGGGATTAGAATTATTTTCTACAGTAAGTTATAATTGTTTTATAGTATAGTTATTTTATAAACATTCCATCTCCTAGAAAAAAATTGTTGTTGTAGGTATTTTTAATAAATTTAAAAAATTTTTATTTCAGATTATGAAAACCATTTTTTCTTATTTAAATGTTTTAAATTCTCGTAATTAATGTTTATTAAAATATACAAAAATTAATCTGCCTAACTGTTCTGTAGTAAATATGTAGTTATTATTTCACTCGCAGTCGAGATGATTTGCTGAGGGTATATAAGGTCTGAGTGTTAGAGCACCAGCCAGCAAAGATTTGCCGCCTAACGGCGTGTAGGTCTCTTGCGCACTTTCAATAAAAGGTTCTTTTAACTGAACTTTTCTAGTTTTCTTTCACCCTACTACCGTAGGCGTACTAATCAATTTCTATTTTCAGGCCCCAACCCTCTTTCACACTCTCACTAACGTAAAACGTACGGGGAGTCTCTCTCTACGGGCACCTATCCGATACCGGGAGTCACTCTCAGCGAGTCGGTTAAGGTACGGATACAGAGAGCACGCAAACCCGCCTAACGATACGCACGGGGAGTCACTCTTAGCGAGTCGTTAGGCTACGCGTAAACCCTCCAGCAATTTTGGTAATTTGTTCACATTTTCTTAGCACTTAAAATTTCTCGTTATTATTAGATTATATATACATATATATCTTTGCTTTGATAATGAGGGTTCTCGAGGGTTTCTACTTGCAATTTGTTTCGTCAAAAACAGCCTTCGGTTGAGGGTTTATTTTCTGTTATTGTTTATATAAGATGGTCGATGATCGTTTAATTACTATCCTGTAAGGGGAAGTGGTGTCCCCCATCTTACCAGCCGCGCCCGAGCTATAACCATGTGGTTATACTAAAGAATCAAAATCAAGAAGAAAATCTTTGGTGCCAGCACCTTTGGGTTAAATTGGTTTAAAACACATCGTATAGGTTTATTGTACTAAAATTATAAAACTTTAGAATATTAACATTTATATTTGGAACCATATATGCTCGTAATCGTGAAATTCTGAGAAATATGTCAAAATAAATTAAAAAATGTTTATATTTAAAAATTTTATAATTTTGATGAAAAACTCAATAAGCGTTATAAAATAATATTGTCATTAAGTCTGAGAACGCCACACAGGCCCCCCGCTGTAATTGACTTACTTGAGGTCGAGGGAAATTTGTTTTCTATTATTGTATACGTGACATAGGTGATGACCGTTTAATTCCCGTGAGTGGAAGTGGTGAAACCATACTTTACTTACCAATGGCTATGCCCGATAACGCCACTCAGGCCTACCGCAATGTCTGCCTTACGCGAGGTCCTAAAATAGGCCCAGTCCGATAGAGTATAGTTAAATGTTTCGAAGTGTAAAAAAGCCGATTTGGACTAAGAAATATATAATTTTTTAAAAAGAAATAAAAGAGAAATGTGACAGATTTACCGACAATTTTAACATGTGAGTTAAAACTTCGCTTTTATTTCTTTTCAAAAAATTATATATTTCTTATTCCAAATTGGCTTTTTTGCACTTCGAAACATTTATTCTATTTATTTATAATGCTAACTCTAATAAACAAATATCAATTCAAATGTTCAACAGAAAAGAATTCATGGTAAGAAAAAAATAATTCACCGTAACGTTCCAATTCGCAGCCTTTCGCCAAACCGAATTCAGCTTAAATTACCACCTATTCTTTTCGCTTACTCCCAATTATTTTTTTTACTGTGTTGGCCAACATTGGCAATAAAGATATTTGGATTTTAAGCATAAAATTGGTATTGAATATATTTTGATATTGGAAAAATATATTAATTATTTGATAATATGGAAGCTAGATTTTGGAAAAATTTGTTGGTATTGGATAACATTGTATATGTAGGCAAATAAATATAAAATCAATGAATAATTATTATTTACTTTATTGAGCCGTTGGGAACTTAGAAAAATATATTGTCACCGTATATTATACCCCTCTCTGCATAGAGAGAAAAAGCTACTTGTTCTGGTAGATTGATAGCGTTAGTAAATCCACTAGTAAAACGGAGAATGGTTCTCTTTTAAAATCGTACGATTCTTTTCTTTTTCAAGCACAAACAGTTTTAATTAAGACTGGACATATATATTAATATATTTTGAAACGGTAAAAAAATAGAATTAGAGCTGTTAATTTTAATTGATTAAAAAGGTATATATTTAAAAGTTGCGTTTGAAAAAAAAATCGATGAAAGTACTAATGGGCAGGTATAGTTAATAATTTATCGATTTGGCAAAAGCATCATAAATCGCAGCTTTAATCGTGAATAATAACCATTAGGCGCCTAATGGGATCGTGGGAGCGACGGGTAATCGGGGATGGAAGAGGAATAGATAACGAGACATGGATGATGAAGAGTGTGAAGTAAAACACACCCACAAAATGTATTATGTGCATCATTGCGAGTTCAATAATATAATTTAGGATTCCATTTCTCAGTCGTGTTGAATACAAAAATCCATAACATTCAATATTGGGGTATTAGTCTGTAATTTCACATTCACTTTCGTAATCCCTTTCACATACTTTTGCACCACTTTCACTTTCCTTATGTGAAAGTGATTGTGAAAACCTGTCGCCTAAACGAAAATTTCAACTATTTTAAAATAGGGTAATTTGAAAATATGGTAATGACAGAGACAAGGGTATCCTCATTCACGGATTTTCCATTTAAAGTGACACGAACTGTGGAAAATGCATCACTGGCAGTCCTTGTAAATGTCGGCAGTTAAAGTTTAATTGAAACATGGTAATACGTGCGTGCTATTAGCCAGAAATAGTAGACGAAAAGCACGAACGAGTCCGCTAACTTTCTCGGTCTGCGAGATATAATTATTTAAAGAAGTTAAGCCAATACAATCCAACCGCAAAACAAAGTTATTTCTAATTAGAAAATTCTAGAAAAAAAGTACATATATCATCAAAGAACTTTATAAAATTAAGTCCTTTTTCTCATATACAGATTGCAACATCTAATATTATTTATTAATCTAAAAAGCAGAATTTTTATATCAAATAGCAATTTTTTATTTGCTTTCTATCTTTGATAAAACGAACGAATTTTCTATTTTCACTAAATATATAGAAATATGAAACTTAAAAAAGTTCATTTTCCTTTGAAAACGTAAATTGAATTTTCGAAAATCAACCTCTTGACTTCTTTTAACATCAATGTTATACGAATTCAATGATCAATATCTTTTAAGATAGTCTCGCTAATTTAATCATCTTGTAGCAATATAATATTTCCTTATAGTTCGAAAGTGATATAGTCCACCTCTCCCCCATTTAATACGATGTATCCGAAAAGTTGAAATCTAGAGAGTAAACTCTCCTTTACTGGTTAGATGATGGCCACGAGTAAACTGTGCCGTTCCAATGCTTCCCCAAGATGACATTGTTATGATTCTCTAACGCGAGTTGAAATGAGCTTACCGAGTTTTGGGAACTGTTGAACCATGGATAAACTCAGATAGGACGCCATCGTGTGCTTTCGGAATTCCGCATGAAGCTTCTTATTCCCACCGAAATATGCATCAAGTTTGTATCTTCTTATATGCGCATAATAGGATTATTTTTTAACCCAAACAAAAAACTTTTTCGTTTACTTTAATAACTTAAAAAACAAATAAAAATTACCCTTATTTTAATTTCAAATTATTTTTTATAAAATGCAAAATTAAGTTATCTGGTGAGAAATTAAATAAAAAGATATTTTGAAACAATTTTTTTTTGCTTCAATTTTTTTTGGAAGCACTACATTTTTAATGTTTTGTATACTAACATTATGTCAACATAAAAAAAAGGATAAAATAAACTGTGTTTGCAAATGTGCTGTATCTTCTTTTTTTTTGTTACAAATCCGTTGTATATATTGTCCTACAGCCAGAATATTTGCTCTTTTTTGTTTTATTTTAACCACAGACGAAAACTAGTGCGCTCTCTTTCTCTCTCTATTTTTATATATGTATATATATATTCACATAAATATGATTGAATAACTGAAAATGAATATTCGTGTTTGCTTTTTAACCTTTATACATTTTCCATATTTGGATGCATCAGTTCATTGATGTCATTTTAGTACGTCGTTCATATTACAGACATTTCATGCTTTATGCGTGCTTTTAATATGAAATGTCATTTCACTACTGCATATAAATACCTTACGAACCATCTGTGAATCATCGTACAGGAAAATTTCATTTCATTTTACAAAATTATTTATTTTATAATGTGTATGCTTCATGCATCAGTGCATCATTAAAAAAAGGAACAACATTAGTATTAAGTGAAATTTAAAAATACGTACACCAATTATTATATAATATGATAACAAAAATTTCAAATTATTAGCAATTTAAATTCGTTGGAAATTATTGGGTAAAAAAATTTCCCAAAAATCAACTTTTATTATTAAAAATTTTGTTAAAAGGAAAATGTCATATATTTATAAATTCATAGTTCAATGGAGAAATTGAAATATACATTTTCAACGAGTGAAAATTTATAAATGACTATTTTCCCGAAGTCATTTTCCAGGTACGTTCTGTATAGTCATAAATAGAAATCCCCTATTATTCACAGGTGGATTGATGAATGCTTTCATTACAGCCTCGATGGAAGATCATTCGAATGCTGACTGCTTTCTGTCATGACGCACGGCGAATCAGAACTTTTACATACGACCGACGAACTATATATATCCAGTTGATACTCTGTGGAATTTTTTTTTCACCACTGACAAATGCACAACTCTCATAGGAAAACCGAAATTGTTTTTCATACAGGTATATATGTATATATGAAAAATTGACGCTATTCTCTTTTTACGTAAAATAGAACAAAAATTGATTATTTTTTTTTCATCTCTTTTTTTCTTGCAAATCCATATGCTCACATTGTATATATACCACAATTCAATTGAAATCCCAAATTTATTGAATAAAATTTAACCCATACAGTATAGGATATATTTTTAAAGAGATTTTGATTTCTAAAAGAAAAAAAGGGTATTGCATAATTGAAACCCTTTTTTTTAGATATACTCTTACAGAAATGAAGAAAAGTGAAAGAATAATATATAAGGAAGATATTCTAAACTTAAATGATAAGGCAACCACTAATTATATAAGGAAAAGTTTAATTAGTTGAACTCTGGTTTGAGAAAGTTTCAAACGACAAAGTACGAAAGAATTTCATAGTTTTATATATCTCTTATGCAAAGTCACGTGTTGACAAGTACTCTCAGAAGATGAAAAGTATATAGAAGAGAGAAAAGAGAGAACTTAGACTACATGTTT